TGAAAACTCATTTGAGGTTTTGAATAGCATCTAGTGTCTTTTTGTGGATCTGTAACAAACTTAAGACTATACAGACATACCCTCACCAAAGAACTAAATATAATCTGCATGTGAAAAAGAAGTTTCAAGTGGAGAAGTAAACGACAATGAGATTCTGTCAGTGACGTACAGTGCAGATGCACACGCTCTTCATAACCCTGCAGGCTGCACACTCTCCCTCGGTTCCAGCTCAACTAGAGCTCAGTTGTGGGAGGATTCAATCATTCAACTCCCCAGAGAGCATGCTGGGAGCCCTCGGGGCTTTGACATGCGTTTAGACACAATCATACTACTGCCCCTCATCTTAAGGGTCAGAAAACATATTGAATTTTGTAATTGATAACTCACACATTTGTGTTTGGTACATTATGTGCACCAGGTCCACAGTATGCATCTAGGAAAAGCCATATTGGCTGAATTTTCATCGACTTGATCTGAAGATGGAAAAAAATCAACATTATATACAAGACCTCTTGGCTCAGTCTAGTTCTCCCAGTATCAGTAATTTTTTCCCGAAAGAGCTTTTTTCTAAGCCCTCTAATCTAATTTTTCCAATCCTGTTCCGGAGCTTAAAAATTTGTGGAAGTTGCAACACAATGTTCAGACTCAGATCCTGCAGGTAGAGTGCTGGTTTATAGGTACCCATGGCTGGTGTCTTTTGAATTGAGCATTTGCACTTCAACAGCCACTGGCAGAATCACAAAAAGAACCCGAATTCAAGCGCGCCTTGGTGGAAAGGGCCACTTCCTGTTCTCCTGTTATTTAAGGTGTAGCGAACCACAGAGAATGTACTTGTGTACTGTATATTCTCTGATAACCTCACATAACAGATGCTGTACGTGGGAGTATCGGCACTTCCTAGCTTCCACACCGCTATCTGAAGTTGCCCCACGGACTCCTGGCATTTGAATTGTAAACATCGACTTGCTTCCATATCTGTCATCTTCCCGTTTTTGAAAGTGTCTGTTTACCGCTGCCGTGGCTTTGCCGTGCCCTAGTCAAAATCAATGTTCATCAGAAGAGGCCAGAGGTCAAAGTGTGACTTGCGAATCCCACTTTATCGATCCACGGTGAATAATTTAAGCCGGTTGTGGGGTTTGCAGTAACAGGTGATGGCTTGGTTCTTTACAAGGTTAAGACGGAGAGGGAGGGGGTGAAGGAAAGCCAGAGCCAGATGGAGGATGTGGGGGAGAAGAGAAGCATGAAAGTGAGAAATAAAAGGAGTAGGCAGTTGAATGCTGGTGTGGACAACACAACGAGAGCGGCGTTCAAGGCTCTGTTTAGGGGTTGTGCTGTTTCTATTGGGCCTGCTCCACCGTTTTAGACCGAACAGAAGGTGACTGGGCTGGAACAGACAAATACGCAAAAACATGATCTCACTATTGTTCTGTTCACTTTAATTGGACCATATGGCAAACTGAAGCAGCTAACAGTACTTTGATAGAGACACCCTCCTTCTTTCCGTTAGCACATGCTGTTTTTTTTTTCCCGTGTTTTGGGTTTTGAGTGGGAAAAAAGGAAAATTATCAAATTAAAGGATTTAATAAATAAACCATGCATGTGACAAGAGATGAAAAAAATCTATTTTCTCACTGTGCTTTACTCTCAAGGGCTTTAATTCTGACTTGAGAAGAGATTTTTTCCATGCTAAATACTTTCTTCTATCTCAGTTTAATCTGAAGAGACAACTATAAGTAAGCCATTAGTTGGTTGATTTATCAAATAAAAAGTACGGTGTGTAAAACAGTGACTCTGTGGCAAAATCAAATATTTCTTTCTTTGCTTGAGATGAAAAATAGCACTTAATAGCTTTAATAGCATGCTGATAAATAAGGGTTACCATAGTTGTCTGATTTGTCAAGCAAAACTCATTTTTGTTTAGCAACTTGCTAACTTACAGAGCATTTATAAAAGTATGTGAACTCTGACTCTGGCAATATCAAAGATCTATCTATCCATCTATCCATCTATCTATCTATCTATCTATCTATCTATCTATCTATCTATCTATCTATCTATCTATTCGTCAAACACAATCTCAGCTTTATTTAGCAACTTAACAACTTACAGAGCATTTTTTTAAATTGTACAGTGTGTAAATACTTTGACTTTGTTGCACTATGAGAACATTTCCCTGTTTGTTTGAGCTGCCTGACAACAGCAGCACTGGCTCAACCAATAGCGCGAGTTTGGGCGGGGCTGTTTGTTTGTCTGACCAATAGAAGATGATGGGAGTGAAACAATCAGAGGAAACCTGTTGTGAAACAAACATTATTTGTGAAATTATTTTGCTTTTCAGTTGTGATGTAGGTTATTTGTAGGTTATTAGAATGCTAATTTGCTTTGGGTTCTCAATTATTATTATTTTTTAAATAAAGGCCTGTTCACAGCAAGGATGCTAACTATAACAATAGCTATAACGATTTAGTAATCATTCTAATTCAATGAACAATATCAGATTCCACTCGACTTAGCACTTGGGCATTTAAAGTGGCAGTAGCGATTGATTACAAGCAAAATTTACAACACAAGTCAAAACTTGTATAAAAACATTGAAAGTGGCACAGAATTGGTCTGCATAGTTGGTTCATTATACCAAATATCAAAGACTTCTTCACTCTGGTTCGAATATTACCATTAACCAGCAGTGTTATCTAGTGACCTGCATGAATCTAAGAGGCTTATGGTAAAATGAGACAGGAAATATTGGGGCTGATGTTTATCTTCTACGAGATTCATTTCCCATTAAATACTAATTATGATGGATCCAGTGCCGTACCCTCCTTACGTCCCAGACCCCTATCTATTAGGAAGTAATCTCTCTCAGTGTTTGGATTGTACTTAAAAAGTTATGCCTGAAACTGCCATCAGAAGTTTAAAGCAGTGGTAAAATAGGAGTTCTGCTCTTCATATTTTAACAGGAACAGCAATTACTTTTGTGAATGAGGCTGCAATTTTTATATCCATTGCCTACACCCCCCACCACCCTTATAATCCTGTTTAAACTCTGCACAAGCAATTACGCCATAGCCCACTGGTTCCCCTTTAATGCCTCTTTCATCTGCCCGCACCCAGTTTTCCATCATTTTGCCTGATTAAAAGATGGAGGAGTGAAGCAAATTATGAATAGGTTGCTGAACCAATGAAGTTACCCGGAAATAAGTAAAGTAGTGACATTTTAGGGTAAAAAGAGGTTGTTTAATTGTGTGTATTTGCGCTTGGGTGATTACAGTTTGTGTGTGTGGGTGGGTTGTTTTTATTACTAGCACTTTACACAAATATGCAACACTTTGGTGGCGGTGGCATTTTTTTAAAGCATTAGAGACAAATCTTATGTTTTTTTGTTGTGAGAACTATTAGATGTTGGATGAACTATTATCTAACATAAAATTAACCTAGGTTAAGTACATAAAATGGCTGTATCCTCATGTCAAAATGTATGTAACATTTAAAATCATGCAATGTTTAATTTTGAATGAATCTATTGATTTTATGTTCAATTTATTGTCATTAAACAAAGCTTGTTTGTTCAAAAGCTCTCTAATTGGATTTACTTCCGTACATATATTCATGATTTACATTTATATATTCAGTTTTCTATCTATATATTCAGACTTTTATCTATATTTTCCAATTTATGTTTATATATTCAGTATTATAACTACATATTCATATTTACTTCTATAGATTTACAATTTACATTTATATATTAAGATTTGTATCTATATGTTCAAATTTTATATAATTATTTCTTGTTTGGCCCTTCATACCAGTCTATGCTTGAATTAAAATTTGTATACTATAATTTATTTATTTATCTAATGCATATATATGTGTGTGTGTGTGTGTGTGTGTGTGTACATGTATATATTGCTCATATTGTGTACTTTGACCTCCTGAGGTCAACATTTGTAGGAATGTTTATGTTTTCGTGGGTCTTTGTTATTGTTTTGTTAAGGGCCTTAACCTCTTGTGTTGACCTCTGTTAGGACATCCCAGTGCAGGGCTGTGTTACAGGAGGTCGTGCTCTCGACATTAGCTTGAATAGAGCAGCACATGAATCACACAGATCACTCTTTATACTCAGATGATTGCATAATGGCTGTGGCATGTTTGATTTCGCTCTCCTGTGCATGTATGACCTTTAAATGAATTTCCCTGCACTGGGTTGAATATAACCATCACTTATTTCAGACAGGCGAGGGAGCCAATGACGAGGGGGTCATATATCATAACTGTCTGAGCTGGCATGAGAGCAGAGAAAGTAATTGTGCTAAAGTGATATTTTGTCTGCAGTTTTGAATGACAGCATCACATTAGCGGTCTTTAGTAGCAAAACTTTTCCTCCTAAAACACTCTTCAAATTGCTATCAACCTTTTACTGTGTGTGGAAGTATATTGCAAAGCAATGAACAGGAATGAAGCAAAAATCAAAGGCCTATACACCTAATGCCTGTTTTTGGCAGGACATGTAACATTTTAAAACAATAAAAGTCTGTAAATCATTAAACATTATAGAATTGTATATAAATATTATATAATGTTATTATAAAAAAACATTTAAGCATATATAAATATTTTTGTCATGTCAACCCAAAACTGCAAGAAATAAACGAAATCATTTATTATCAATTGTCATTTGTATTTACATGAATATATATGTTTTAAATTATTTTATTTTATTTTATTCCATTAATGGTTCTGGAACTACATTGTGTTTTCCTCTTGTTAGTGCTCATGTACTATAATGATAATTCACAAGTAACGTAAAGATCTGAGAAGCACAGATCATTGGAATATGCTAATCAAGTTCTAGTCATCTTCACTAGCAGTGTATAAGTCACTACCTGTTTAAATAAACATTCTTAAACACTGCTCATCATCCCAGTGTGACTTGGTTGGTTTGCATTTGCATTCCAAGGGCTTCCTCCGAGCACTTCTTCTCTGATTAAAACATCTGGCCATTGTGTAGTTCTACCTGTACATCTGTTGAGAGCGAGAGCTCTGCACGAATCTTCATCACAGAGGTAGCTGACAATCACTCTGACAGGAAGAGAGAAAGATGGAGGGAATGATTTATTAAAGCTGGAGAAATAGCCCGCAGACCACGTCCAGACCATCTGTATCATTCAAGACCATGTTTCCACCTTCGCAAAGAGCTGTCCATTTCAGTGATACCGCTGCGCCGCAGAACATTCCTTGAGAAAAAAAAAGACAACGTTAACAGTGAGATTGCCCGCCTCCACCTGCCACCAAAAAGTCAGCAAGCACTTCCTTTTCTTCCAGCTCAGCATTATGTTTTTTTTCCCTGTCTTGACTTACCTGATAAGGTGATCCCAGACACATAAGATAGAGGTTTGGCTCTTGTGTAGCGGTAAATCACCGAGGACCCCAGCTGACGATAATTAAGGTTATTAGACATAAATACGTATGTGAGCCACAGGGACTCGTTCTGGAGTGATGGCAGGTGTCGATGCTACTGCGAGTGTGGCGTTTAAAAATATTTCCTCTTAAAATATCTCCCTTCTGACATTTGTCTTTGCACTCTCTGGAGTCGGAGCCCACGGAGACGGCAAAGAAAGACCAGGCACATTTGTGCAGTCATGCAGCTCATTTTCCAACTCTGTATTCTCTATGGTGTGCATTAAATGGGGAATGCTGCACAACAAAGTTTCATCCCTTAATATGAGCCAAAATCACCTTTTAAATGGCATAATGCTTAGTGTACACATTAAACAATGAGACGTTTAGTTGCATTACCATTTTAAAGTTGTAAAAAAATGTGTTCTGGCTAATTTGAATGAATGTGATATGGAGGATTGTTACTGTCATGTCACTGCTGTTAGAAAGCTGTCACTGCTTATTATGAAAAGCTAGCAGAACAGGAAGATTCCCGCTCTGTCTAATTTTAGACTAAACCCTGCCTAGTAGGGTTGGGAAATGAGAAGCAGTTCTTATTCTGAACTGGTTCCATTAAAATAATAATAATAATTGGAACGCAATGATTTTTATGACATTTGGTTCCACAAAAAATAAAAAAAACATCTGTATTTTTGTTGCGGTTATGCAAAATGGCATAAAATATGCATAAATATGGAGTGTGAAATATATGAAATATGGAATGCCTCAGAGCCATATTAAACTTTGGACTTGACATGATTTTATTTTATTTTATTTTATTTAAATTTTGCATGACAAAGAACAAGCAACTTTTGCTTTAATGATGAAACCTTAATTGGAAAATGTATTTTGGAATTTCTTGCAGTGGTTCGCTTAATGCCAATTTAAATGTATATATCTTTTAGTATTTGTTATGTAATATAATTTATTGTTGTATAAATTCACATATATAATAAATTATAATAATATATAAAAATTCATCAAAATATTTGTATTAAATGTGGTTTATATTTTTAATTATATAAATTACATATAATTTTATTTTATTTTAGTAATTTTTATTTTATAATTTTTAATTTTTAATTTAAATTTGATTTTAATGTATTTATTTATTTATTTTTGGTGTATGACAAAGAACAAGCAACTTTTACTTTAAGGATGAAACTGTAATTGGAAAACTTATTTTGGAATTTCTTGGAGTGGTTCGCTTAATGCAAATTTAAATGTATATATCTTGTAGTATTTTTATGTAATATCATTTATTGTTGTGTAAATTCACATATATAATTATAATAATATATAGCAATTCATCAGAATATTTGTATTACATGTTGTGTATGTTTTAATTTGTATATAAATCAAATTATAAATTTAAATTAAATGATAAATTAAATTTTTATAATTTATATTTAATACATTTTATAGATTTATTATACAGATTTCATTGCATACAATACATTATTTTGGTTTGTTAATTCCCTGCTTCAAATGGTTGTATAGTAATCAGTGTGTTAAAATACGACTTTTAATGAAGTGTCAAATGGAAATTAGTAAAATGTGTGGGGATTCTGATATGAGCTTCATGGATGAATCCATTTCAGAGCTAATAAGGAGTAACTAGTGTAGGTGGTTATGTAATGTTCCTGCATAACATAAAATTCATACTGAACTTCTCCTCCTCACTCCTCATCTGTCTTTCCATGAGGAATCAATGGCTGTTTATGAGGTGTTTGATTTTCTTCTTGGTAAAGGACAATGTGAATGATGATTCATATGGCTGAGCTTTGCTCCGTCTGCCTTGACCTAGACTCAACACAAACACTAGGGCCTAATTGTCCATTCTAAAAATGAGATGAATGTCATGATTTGTGGAGAGTACTGTATGTACACTTTTCTCAGTACACTGAACCTTGAGAATGAATTGGTATATCATAAACAATATACAAGGCGAATAATCCAGTAGGTCTTGGTTAGATCAAACTAAATGGGAGAGTTTTGATGAAAGTGGCTGGAGTGTTTATCGGTGTATGAAACTCTTGTGGATCATTACTGAACCCTTTCCATATGGGATTTTGAGAGTGAAAAGAAGAATATTTCAAAAATCTTTATAAATGTTTACAATATCTGTTAATAAAGGTTAAAATTAGGCTTGAGTTATTGAACCACTAACACCTTCCGCCTTTGCAGGTTACAGTATGTGATTTCTGCTCCATTCTTTCTATGCTGTAAATGGAAAAAAAGGAAAAAGCCAACTAGTTGTTCAGGGTGCTTTTATTCCATGGCATTAGACCCTTTTGGTTGAGATAGTTAACCTTCTCAGAGTGACTCAGATAATCGTCCTACCAATGGTTTGGTCAGACCTCCCCGTGCAGCCAATTAAACCGTGTCACACTGGAAATGTGCGGGAAGGAGGTATGGTAAATGAAGATCGATGAAGAGGAAGCTGTGGCCGTTATTTATAGGCCTTAGATGGTGGTTAGGCCTGACCTGCAGTTTACCCTATGACCTGTTGTTCCTGACCAGTGGCAGAACTGTGGAGAATTGCACCGTTTTAGGTTTGAGTGCTCTACATTACAGTGTATGTAGGGTGGGCTTCGTTTGGCGTGGGATTGTAACATATAGTGTGTTATAGTGTGCATGATTTGAAACACAAAATAGATTTTTATGTTTTCTGAGGAAAAGGTTAGTGTGGCTTTTCTTTGGAAAATACATTAATATATACAGTATATATCAACTCAAAAGTTCAGGGTTACTAAGAATTGAGTTTTGTAAAGAAATGAATACTTTCATTGAGCAAGGAAGCATTATATTGATCAAAAGTGGCAGTAAAGTCCTTTGATATTATATTTGTATTTCAAAAAAATGCTGTTCTTTTAAACATTCTAATCATACTTTAATACTGTGTTGTTACTTCGATGATCCACAGCTGTTTTTTTTTTTCTTTTGGATAGTTGTTCATGAGTCTCTTGTTTGTCCTGAACAGTTAAACTGCCCACTGTTCTTAAGAAAAATCCTTCAGGCCTCACAAATTCTTTGGTTTTGCAGCATCTTTTGTGTATCTGAAACCTTTCCAACAATCACTGTGATTTTGAGATCCATCTTTTCACACTGAGGACAACTGAGGGACTCATACATAACTATTACAAAAGGTTAAAACATTTACTGATGCTCAAGAAGGAAACACGATGCATTAAGAGCCGGGGGGTGAAAACCTTTGAACAGGATGAGGATGTGTACATTTTTCTTATTTTGATTAAAGATCATATTTTTTTATTCATTAAGTACTGCACTTCAGAAGCTACATAAATACATACATGTTTCCCAGAAGACAAAATAAGGACAAGTTGTAACATATAGTGTGTTATAGTGTGCATGATTTGAAACACAAAATAGATTTTTATGTTTTCTGAGGAAAAGGTTAGTGTGGCTTTTCTTTGGAAAATACATTAATATATACAGTATATATCAACTCAAAAGTTCAGGGTTACTAAGAATTGAGTTTTGTAAAGAAATGAATACTTTCATTGAGCAAGGAAGCATTATATTGATCAAAAGTGGCAGTAAAGTCCTTTGATATTATATTTGTATTTCAAAAAAATGCTGTTCTTTTAAACATTCTAATCATTAAAGAATTCAGAAATCAGGAATAAGTTACATTTTAAAATATATTAAAGTAGAAAACAGTTGTTTTAATTTGCAATGTTTCACAGTATTACTGTTTTTACTATATTTTGGTCAAATAAATGCAGCCTTGGTCAGCATAATAGATTAGACTTTTTTCAAAAACAAAACAAACAAAAAAAATCTTACAGACCCTGCACTTCTGCAGGTTATATTGATACACCAGTGACAAGTAACTGTCATTATAAGTAAATTGATTTGTTTAAAATACTGATTCATTCAGGAACTACACAATTTAAACAATTTTGATTCAATTCTTTATGAGTAAGTCATTAAATACATACTATTTTATATATATATATATATATATATATATTAGTGCTGTAAAAATTAACCCGTTCAGAAGTTTACATATACTTAATTCTTAATACTGTGTTGTTACCTGGATGATCCACAGCTGTTTTTTTTCTGTGATAGTAGTTCATGAGTTGCTTGTTTGTCCTGAACAGTTAAACTGCCCACTGTTCTTAAGAAAAATCCTTCAGGCCTCACAAATTCTTTGGTTTTGCAGCATCTTTTGTGTATCTGAAACCTTTCCAACAATCACTGTGATTTTGAGATCCATCTTTTCACACTGAGGACAACTGAGGGACTCATACATAACTATTACAAAAGGTTCAAATGCTCACTGATGCTCCAGAAGGAAAAACGATGCATTGAGAGGCAGGGGTGTAAACTTTTATAACTGAATAAAGATATGTACATTTTTCTTATTTTGCCTAAGTATCATATTTTTTTTCATTTAGTACTGCCCTTCAGAAGCTACAGAAGTTACTTACATGTTTCCCAGAAGACAAAATAAGTTCAATTTTTCCTGATCTTCAAATTCAAAAAGTTTTCACCTCCAGGCTTTTAATGCATCTTTTTTTTAACATCTGGAGCATCAGTGAGCGTTCAAAACCTTTGTAATAGTTGCGTATGAGTCCCTCAGTTGTCCTCAGTGTGAAAAGATGGATCTCAAAATCATATAGTCATTGTTGGAAAGAATTAAAAAATAATTTGTGGGACCTGAAGGATTTTTTTCTGAAGAACAGCGGGCAGTTTAACTTTTCAGCTGTTCAGGACAAACAAGTGAATCATGAACAACTATAAAAAAAAAAAACAGCTGTGAATCATCCAGGTAACAACTCAGTATTAAGAATCAATGCATAAAGGAGCAGTTATAAAAGTGGAAATTTCACAAAAATTTTGAATGAAGAGACTTTATGATATAGATGTTCATTTTAAAACACATTCATAAATAATGAAAACGAAAGTAAAAGGTACATTACCTGAAACCCTTAAAAAAAGAAGTCTCTGTAAGGCATGAAATGAGCTGAATGTTAATTGTCAGCCATGCCCTAATGACTAGCCTGGTTCACCAGAGCGAGGCTGGCACTGAGAG